TGGAATTTTTTTTGGATTTTTGTTGATTTTGGGTGGGATTTTTTGGCCGTCACGTTGTCCAGCTTCAGATCCCTGAAAATCCCAAAATTTGGGAAATTTGGGAATTTGGAGAATTTTTTTCTGAATTTTTCGGGGATTTTTGGGCATTTTTTGGCGATTTTTTGCATTTTAATTTGATTTTTTTGGGGATTTTTTTACTCTTTTGTTTGATGTCAGGAGAGAATTTTGGGAATTTTGGGGATTTGGGGAATTTTGGGAATGTTTTGGAATTTTTTTTTATTTTTGGGGAATTTTTGCAATTTTTTTGGTAATGTTTTTGGATTTTTTTTAAAGAGAATTTTCTGGGGGTTTTTGCAGGGTTTTTTTGGGATTTTTTGGGACTTTTTTGGGCAATTTTTGGAGAATTTTCTGGTTTTTTTTGATTTTTGGGAATTTTCTGAGGGTTTTTGGGGTTATTCGGGGATTTTTGGGAATTTTTGGGGTTTTTTTGGGAATTTTTTAGGAATTTTGGGAATTTTTGGGGAATTTTGGGAATTTTTGGGGAATTTTGGGAACCTCACCTGTAGATGATCCCTTGGTTGTGCAGGAAGAAGAGGCCGATGGCGATTTCGGCTGCGTAAAACCTGGAAAATTCGGGAAAATTTGGGAAATTTTGGGAAAAATAGAAAAAATATTAAGAAAAAAAACAAATGGGGAAATTTGGGGAAAAAAACTGGGAAAATTTGGGGGAGAAATTGAGGAAATTTCAAAAAAAAAAGGAAAATTCTGAAAAATTTTAGGAAAATTTGGGAAAAATCGGGAAAATTTGGGGGGAAATTGAGAAAATTTGAAAAAAACTGGGATATTAAAAAAACTGAAAAATTGGGAAAATTTGGTGAAAATCTGGGAAAAATTGGGGAAATTGGGAAAATAAAATAAAATAAAAAAAGAAATGGGGAAAATTGGGAAAGAATTGGTGAAAATTTGGGAAAAACTGGGGAAAATTCACCGGAAATTTGGGAAAATGTTGATGGAAATTTGGGGAAAATTATGAAAAATTGGGAAAATTTTGTATAAATCGGGAAAAATCAAGGGAAAATTGGGAAAATTTGGGGGAATTGAGGAAAAATCTGGAAAAATTGGAAAATTTGGGAATAATTTGGGGAAAATATTGGGAAAATTCCCAGAATTTTGGGGAATATTTTGGGGGGAATTTTGAGGCTGTTTCCTGGATTTTAATTGGATTTTCTTGGATTTTTTTCCTGCTTTTCTGGGAATTTTTCCGGGAATTTCCCATTCCTGCCTCCTCCCTAGAATTCCCAGAATTTCTGGGAATATTTTGGGCGGAATTCCGGGAATTTTGGGGTCTTTAAGTGAATTTCGGGCTGAACTTTGAGGCTTTTTAATGGATTTTTGTGGGAATTTTTCCACATTTCCCCCGATTTTCCCAGGATTTTTTTGGGAATTTCCCATTCCCGCCTCCTCCCACGGAATTCCCGGAATCTTTTGGGTGGAATTTCTGGGAATTTTGGAGGATTTGGGGCTGAGTTTTAATGGATTTTAATGGGTTTTTCTTGGATTTTCTTGGATTTTCCCGGGATTTTTTTGGGAATTTCCCCCTCCCGCCTCCTCCCGCGGAATTCCCGGAATTCCCGGGGATCTTGTGGCCGGAATTCCGGGAATTTTGGCCGACTCACGCCGCGTGGGGCTCCTTGAACTTGCCGACCTGCTGGATGTGGTACATGAGGTCGCCGCCGGTGACGTACTCCATGACGAAGTAGAGCCGGTCCTGCCGCCCAGTTTGGACCAGTTTGAACCAGTTTGGACCAGTTCGAACCGGTTCGGACCAGTTCCGACCACTTTGGACCAGTTCAGACCGGTTTGCTCCCAGTATAACGCAAATCTCCTCTTCCATTGGCTCCCATTGGCTCCCAGTTCATCCCAGTCCCTCCCAGTAACTCCCAGTTTATTCCCAGTTAATCCCAGTCCCTCCCAGTCCATCCCAGTTTATTCCTAGTTAATTCCAGTCCATCCCAGTTACTCCCAGTTTATTCCCAGTCCATCCCAGTCCCTCCCAGTTGCTCCCAGTCCATCCCAGTCCCCTTGAATCCTCTCCCAGTCCATCCCAGTCCATCCCAGTCCACCCCAAATCTCCGCTTCCATTGGCTCCCATTGGCCGCCATTGGCTCCCATTGGTTCCCATTGACTCCCAGTCCCTCCCAGTTACTCCCAGTTAATTCCCAGTCCCTCCCAGTTACTCCCAGGCCATCCCAGTCCATCCCAGTTGCTCCCAGTCCATCCCAGTTAATTCCCAGTCCCTCCCAGTTACTCCCAGTCCATCCCAGTCCCCTCGAATCCTCTCCCAGTTGCTCCCAGTCCCTCCCAGTTGCTCCCAGTCCCTCCCAGTCCACTCAAATCTCCCCTTCCATTGGCTCCCATTGGCCGCTATTGGCTCCCATTGATTTCCATTGACTCCCAGTCGCTCCCAGTTTATTCCCAGTCGCTCCCAGTAATTCCCAGTTGCTCCCAGTATCTCACGGGGGTCTGGAAGGTGGAGTGCAGGTGTGTGAGGAAGTGGGGCCGGGGTCCCAGGGCCAGCACCCTCCTCTCCACCATGGTGGAGGCGGCGTCGTCGTCCTGCACCACCACGTCCTTCTTCAGGATCTTGATGGCGAAGAGCTCGGCCGAGCCCCGGCGCTCGGCCAGCATCACCTGCGGGAACATTCCGGGAAATTCCGGGAATT